TTTGGAAATGACTCGAATGATGATGGATCACATCCCATCCTATAAAGTTCTTAAAGATTTGCACAAATGACTAATGTTACACTAAACAAAAGTGTTGAAGCTAAGAAAGGACACCATATTTAGTTATGGATAGAAATAGTTTCTAGCGTCTTTTCAAGTATATGTCTAGGGCTCTTAGCTCAGTGGGAGTTCATTAACTCAGTGGGAGCTAAGTGGCTTAATAAGGGCTAAGATAGCTCGAGAAGGAGCTAACTGTTTGTTTCACAACGAACTTTCACCCAAAGATAATATACATGCCTCTTTGTAAGTATTCAAGTGAGACTACGGGCATTTCCTCCACAACCTAATTGAGAACATAGTATTTGTTGCTATAAATGGTGTCTTAATGGAAAGTAACGCCTTTCCAAAATGACAAGTGGGAGGAAAATCGAACTCAACGAAAGTTCGAGAGGACGAGCAACAATGTCAACCTGATAAAACTGACAATCAAAATGCTTTAGAAGCAGTTGATAAGATAGAACAGAATCAAACAGACAATGTAAATGCTCAACTCGACGAAAGTTCGAGAGGACGAGCAACAATTTTAACCTGATAAAACTGACAATCAAAATGCTTTAGAAGCAGTTGATAAGATTGGTCAGAATCAAACAGACAATGTAAATGCTCAACCTATCATCCCGTACAGGTATAGAATTCACCAAAGGCTTGGATTGAATCCTATAAATTTCTATTAAGTTAGAAATAAACCTAAGACTTACAGGCTTACCATTCACCATTGGATGGTGAGGGAATGGTGTCTTGTAAATTAGCTACGACAAATCCAAATTCCGAATAATGGTTAGAGGCCATAAAATCCGAAATAGACTCCATGTTTGTAAATCATGTCTGAAACTTGATTCATTTGCACGTAGGGTGACAGACCCATCGATCGCAAATAAGTTTTCAAGGAGAAAACTAACAAATATGGATACAATTAAATCACGGTGTTGATTTTAATAAAAACCTATTCACCAATCGGAACGCTAAAGTCTTTTCGTGATTATACTAGCAAAATTGCGCATATGAAATATGGCTGAATATGAAACCACCTTCCTAAAATTGGATTTTGGAAGAGACTATGGAAATAGTCTAAGGGTTATGTAAATCTAAATAATGCTAGATTTGAAAGCAAGCTCAAGAAATCCATTATGGGATTAAATGAAGCATTGCATGAAGGAATTGAAATATGTATTCCCATAAAGCCAATAAAAGGTTTGGCTAATGAAGAATCATAGAAATTCTTATAAACAAGAAGTTTAGTGGGAGCAAGAGTCAATCTTGTATGGTCCAAACAAGAAGTTTGTGAACTCTATTGTGAAATGACTTTCAAACACTAAATGCTTAGGTTTGAAAGGATTTTCGACAATGGACCAAGCAAAAGAGATACTTAGTACATAGTGGGAATTAAGATCTATTGGATAGACTTAATGAAACGTTTAAACGAGTAAGGAAACTTACCGTGTTAAACATGAAGGACTTGAAAAGGCTTTCGACCCATATGTATAAAGCTAAGTAAATGTTTGAACTAAGTATAAGCTGGGAAAATACTAAGTCAAACAAGAAAGACTCTGGTAGAGACTTTCAACCATGTTACATAGCAAACGATTTAGCAAGACTCGGTGAAACTGGATGAGCTAAAAGTTACATGGATGGAATCACATTGGGAATAGTTCTGCAATTAAAACCATCATGTACGCTATGATATGGAATCGCCACAAACTTACATGCTTAAAGCATGAAAAGTATAAAATACCAATCAATCTAAATCTAAATGATGAATCGTTAGATTATGGTCAAGAAAATCCAAAGTACTTTGGTAAGTAAAAGGGGATAAGTTCTTGACACAAAGAAACAATTACAATTTGAGAATTGATGTTGCAAGCACATCTTTAGCAAGGATTAGATCCTTAATAAGGTAAGTCGTTCATAAGCACGAGCTAGAATGCGTCGTGGCTTGAGAATGGTAACATGGACACGGATCCATGTATAATGTGCGGAAATTTAAGGAAAATTTCCATAATCATAAGTGATTAGGGTCTCCCAAATCTTTGTGAGTCGTTTGGAATAAAATTCGAGCAAAGCAACGTCAGAATGTCTACTGAAATATACGTTGAGAATATTGTTGCCTGGAAGGCAATAATGAGAAAGTGTTCAATGGAAAGTTTGTTGTCGATTGTAGGTTGTCAAGTTGAAAGATCTCAAGTCATGAAAATGAGTGGGAGCCATCACTTGGACAATAAATCCTAAATCACATATGATCCATAACACTCTCAAAATCTTACTATCTTATTATTCGATAATGAAGATGCTAAGATTTGCAAAGTAATAGTGGCTAAACCTATGCAATAAGTGAACAACAACATTCACAATTGCATAAAAGAAATCAAGCATATTAAGCATTGCTGTGATTTCTATAAATGTTTAATGAAGAGTATTACTCTTGAAACATTTGAAGAAAGCCATTTATCGTAAGATGAAACATTAAAGAGTTTCATGGTAGAATTAAATTTTACTAATAAAATTCCACAAACTATTTGATTATGGTTTAGAATCAAATAATGAGTCCATTCGATTTGTGAAAATATTCAAAACAGGGTATCAAGACCATGTCTTGGATAAAGAAACACCTGTTAAGTGAACATTGAATATTTAAATCGAAAATTGTCCCTAATCGAGGTCATTTAAAATAGATGGACGATTAATGACCACCAGAGATTAGTGTGTAGTATGATTTACAGCACCTTTTCTTGTGCTGCAAGGACATAGTAGTCATGAATCATTTGCACAGGTGCTATTTTGGGACTACACCGGATCGACCTATGAGAGTACTTTAAGAGATTCAAAATTGTCATAAGTACATTTCTCATTATAACTATCGAAACCTCTTTCCTCGACCATGAGTATTGTAGAAGTTCTCTTGTTTGAGTACTAGTCGTTTTGATGTTGTCAAACGTCTGCCGTAACTGGGTATTATAACGGCAACACTCAGGCGGCTAAGTCCTCTTAGTAAGGGAAGCTTACAGTTCGAGACTGGGAATGTCCCCCTATTGACAATAGGGAATATGGCTTTGTTGTTTACAAGGCCGCTCGAAGAGCGAGACTGTGATAATGCATGGCCATGCTCAGATGGATTGTAGAAATCATCTGTTTAATTGACAGTCGAACTCGGAGATCGAGAAACACTTCTGAACGTAATAAGGATGACGATGAATCTTACCTTATAGTTCACGAAGAGACATAAGTGACATAGGAAATGGGCTATACACTATATGCACACTTGTCCGGAAGGACAAGTGGGAGATTGAAAGGAATGGTGTCCTTCCAACAAGTGTATTATTCCGATAGAGGGTTCAGAATTATCGGAAAGCCAATTCTTCAGTAAGGTCAAGTGATCGGAATGCCTAGGTGGAGGCCGCTTCCGATCAGTAATATTAAGGTATAATTAATATTACAGCTTAATCTTAACTGAACCCTTCGGGTCGAACCCAATCGAACAACCGATCCGATACGACGAATCAATCCGAAGGATTTTGATGAGTCGTTAGAGTTTTACGAACAAAGACGTCGGATATCGAGCTTAGAGCATCGAGATCGAGCGTCGCAAGTCGAGTCGAATTTAGAATTCGACGAGACATGAAATCAATCGAGATACAAGTTTGAGCCTAGCCGTAGCCTCGCATTGGCCTAGCCATGTGAGTGCTAGGCTAGGTAATACCCATCGCAAGCCTAGCATGCTAGGCATGCTAGGCTCATGCAAGCTAGCTAGACACTGAAAGCATCGTAGCCTTGCGTGTGTGCTAGCAAGCCATGCGCCCAAAACATCGCAAGGCTAAACCTTGGTTGCTAGGCGTTGGCGCAAGGCATGGGCTGGCACTGCTCGCCTAGCCATCGCAGCCTCGCACCATCGCATAGCAGCATGCTATGTTATGCGTGGTGCTGGGCGCTGGCAGCCTTGCTTGCATGATAGGCAATAGCAGCGGCAAGCCATCCCAGCCCCGCACCGAGCATCGCATAACAACATGCTTAGGCTATGCGTGGTGCTGGGCGTTGGCAGCCTTGCATGGTGCTAGGCAATGGCGCTCGCCCAACAACCAGCCTTTTGCAAGCACGTAGCATCGCAGGGCTGAGCCTTGCTAGCAATGCGTGTTGTGCATGCGAGAGCTGTGCTAGGCATATTGCGAGGATAACATAAGCGTGGGCTAGCAGCCTTGCTAGGCAGCACCCAGCACAAGGCATGACACAGCAGCAGCTCGCATGGTGTGCGTAGCTTGCTGGATGTGCACATGTGAATGTTGGCTGGCTTGCTAGCACGCCTAGGCGCCAGGCGCCAGCAAGGCTGCCTTGGTAGCCAAGGCTTGCTGGCAGCCAGCTGTCCCTAGCAGCCACATGGAAGAACCGGTTTGAGCAAGTGGGGACCAAGGTGAGTAGGAATTGCCTTGGGCACCAAGGCCATGGTCCCCTCCTCTTGGAATGGTCCTCACCTACCCACTCTTCTCCATGTGCCACTTGTAACTCATTGATTACTTTGCATTTTATTTTGTTTTAATTAAAATAAAATAGTGGAAAAATGCAATTCTCCCACATTGATGGGAGAATGGGAAATCAAGTAGCATTCCCTTATAAATACCCAAGTGTTGGGCATATGGGAAGACACTTGAGTGGAAAAGTAAAGGCAACTCCATTGTTGAGTAAACCTTGAAATTCGTAAAACTCCAAGTTTATATTTGTTCGGGCCTCGACTTACCTTCGAGGCTTAGGACGCTCGGGTCGGGTTCGAGGGTACGATCCCGTCGGAGACCTCGTATTTTCGGGGTTCAAGTAAGAGCTCAATGATGAGCGAAGCACGCGTCAAAGGTATACCCTTCTTGTGTTTTTAATTATGTTTTGCTTGTTAATTGCGTTTATTATGGGGGCGGGTCTTGGCGGGTTTCTTTCCGCGTAGTGTGGATCACTACGAAACCCTACAAAAGGTGCCCTCTATATGGTGCAAGAAATCCCTCTCCATTAGTATATCCTCCATCACATAAATAATAACAACCTTGACAAATAAAACAAAAAACAATTAAATTCCACTCTTTTTCTAAGTCAATCTTACATAAAGTACACTACATTAATTAAATTACCTTTTGGAACTTTCAAACCATTAGACCTAGAAATAGCATCTCGAAGAATACAACCATCATGTGTTGATTCCTCCCAACCAGGTAAGATATATGTAAATTCCATTTCAGGTGAGCATACTCCTAACACATTCATAGCAAGGGTTCCTTTTCTAGTACGATATTTGGGTCGATCTTCACAAGGAACATTAACTAGAATCATTGTACCATCAAGAGCACCTAAGAAATTCTACAAAACAAACATTATCACTTTAAATTATCTATTAATTTCTAACTTTTTGTTTTGTTTTTCAAATTAAAGTGTTGGTTTTATTTTATTATACCTTGAAATATTTCCACCTTTCATCGTCGCATTTTCTTGTATTAGAGTTGGTTTCTTAAGAAGAACATGTAACTTTAAGATTGCTAACAAACAAGCATGAAATTGCCTACTAATAGTTTCACCAATTCTATAAAAATGTGCACCCATCATTCTATTTTTCTTATGGTGAGCTAATGTGTATAAGAAGTTCGCAACAATCTCTTCCAAACATGTGTTTCTTGTTTCATAAAATCCACCAATATCTCTAACCATCTCTAAAGTACACCGAATGTGTATCGATGTATACGAAGATAGTTCCTATACAAAGTGTCACTTTCTCTAATCATTCTATTCAAGTTGTGTATTCTCATTTTTCTTCTTGTGTGTTTATCTAACTTAAGATGTTGAGAATTGTATATTGTTTTTCTTATTGAGTACACCAACAAATGTAACAACACAACACAATTAATCATAGAAATTATAAAACGAAGGTGGTCCCAATTTCTCTTCCTTTTCAAAGAAGAACCAATACGAGCCATTTTCTATACAAAAGAACATCAACAACACCATATCATTGAAAAGTTTACATATTTATACAAAATACATATAAAAGTCTCAACTTAACCAATAATAGAACATGGGAAAGCCAACAATGATTATAGATAAAACCAACTTAACAAAAACATCTTCTTCATTATAGAACAGTAAAGAAGACAATTTATTAGCTCCACCACAGAATTATCATACAAAAACATCTTCTTCAGTACAAAACAAAATGAACCTATAATAACAAATGGAAAAAATAAAAAAAATTACTAGCACTGTCAACGAATTGCATGAATACTAGTAGAAACAAGCTAATATTTGTGGATCCCGACAAGGGTGATGCTAAGCTAATATTTCAATTCCCGACTTCATACAAATTAAACATACAATTTGAGGCACAAAATTCAGTAAGGTAGAATTTTTTTTAAAAAAAAAAAAAAACAAAACACAAAGAACCCTAAGAATACGAATTCAGAAGTAAAAAAATTCAACAAAAAATTCAAATTAACAAAATAAATCCCAAAAGAATACGAATTCGTGAAGTATAAGTAAAACAAATACGAATTCATGAACTACAAGTAGAACAAATACGAATTAAATAAAAAAAAGGTGAAATCAAGAACACAAAAGAGAGAAAGCAGATGCGTGGGATAACAGGCAAACCTTATCGGCATCGTCGTCGAAGTGGCCGGAGAAACAACAACGGCGGCTACCTCAGCTCGAAGCTTCAGGTTAGGGTTTGAGAGAGAATAGAGATGCATGGGAGCTGGGAGGGAATGAGGAGGAAAGAGAATGGAAAAGGTAGGGGGGTGGGTGGGGATTGAGTTTAGAACAATTTTGGGTAAACCCAAAAATAAAAATGGAGAATGGGAATGACAAAAGATGCAAAACAAACACTTACAAAGGGAATCATTCCCATTCCCTTTCCCCATTACAGCGAACCAAACGGCCCCTTAGATTATTTATGGAATATAAACATCAATGTTAGACTTGTTTTTTAATTTATTAAAGTTGACTTAATATTGGAAGATCACCTAATGTTCGATTTATTGTGGTTATTTTTTTCATTATTTTATTATATTAGACTTTCCTTTTATTAATTATCAGTATATGCATTTTTTTTTACACAAATATTTTCCATACGAGAATGACAAAAAAAAAGCAAAAAAAGGATGGTGCATTATCTCACCAAGAATCAACATGAATTTTTTTAGTGTGTCATTAAGTATATAGTTATTGTAATATATACTTGTGGATTATAGATTGGTTATTATTTATTAATGATTACTAGTTATTTATTTAAGTAAATATAAAAATATGATATTTCATTATATTTTTTCCTGACGGATAAATCACAAAATAAGATTAAAAGAGAAGTGTGAATGAAAATGTCCAAATGGTGCAATTAAAGAAAGGGAAAAAGTATTTAACAAATTATATAAAATTATTTACGTATTAACAAATTACATAACTATTTAACAATTATATAAATAAATGATTTTTTTAATTATCATTTTGCCCTAGACTTCCAAAATGTCAAAAACGGCTCTAGCCTCCTTTACCCAGCCATGCCACCTCCACCTCCCACTGCCTCCCTTACCCAGCCATGCCACCATCATCCACCCATCACCACCGTAAATCACCAAAAACGATAAATTACCCCAAAAAAAAACCAAAGAAAATAAATACCATATGTTTCGGGGTTTTTTGATGTCCTGCGAGAGAGTTACAATTCCGGGACTGGATCCGTGCGCCTGTACCTGCAAAACAACGGAAACTCCGGTTGGTGGGAGCTCCGCCTCCGACGATCAAGTTAGAACGTGTTTAGGAGTAAAAGGTGCGGAAAATAAAGGTGATCTGGTTCCTCCCAAGAGAGGAGTGATCAGGCTAGTTGCGGTGGGCAACCTTGGAAGGTGTGCAATTAATGCTAAGTAAGGTCTAGCAATTAGTATGCACGTGGGGTAATCTCTGAATGAGTTCATCTCTTCTTTAATGGAGGCTAATTACCTGTATTTATAGTCTTGAAGTACGTGCCCAATATTAGGTTAAATGGTAAACCTAGGACTGATTGGGCTTGCCTTGGGATTCGGGCCTTGTTGGCCGTTTTCCAGATTGGCAACCTAGGTGCCACGTGGCGTGGCTTGGTTGGTCCATGTTGGACCTCCTGGAGTATGACACGTGGCACTCCCTTATTGGTCCACGTGGCTGACACGTGGCAGGTGCTAATTGGTCCATGTGGCGGGGAAAAATCCCCTAAACACCATAAACCCAGAAACTTAGAAATTCGAAAATTGACAGCAAAATACTAAATCTATTTATACAATTATACGGTTATACCACAACATAGAAATCTAGAAATTCAAAAATAATTAAATTATAAAATTACAAACTAAAGTTACAATAAGTTACAAGTATAACAAAAAAATTACAACCTAAAAATTAAAAAACTTGGTTCTAGATCTAAAATATAAACTAAATCAATCAAAATTCGAAAAAAAAACCTTTTTCATTGAAATCCAAAGAATTTGGTTGACCACTTACTTGAACTTGAACAAAATTAGAACGAAAACCTCTTGTTTGAATGAAATTCGAACAAAAATCGAACGAACTCCCTTTTTCCGGAACGAAAACCTCAGCTTATGTTAGCTTGAATGAACTCCCTCTTGTTTGAGCGCTTGGCTTGGGCGGCGTTGTTCGTTGCTTGACTTGGAGGAGAGAGACACAAAAGGGGGAAGGTGGTGTTTCTCGGCTTGGAGGAAGTTAAAGAGAAAGTGAGGCTGTGAGGGGGTTAGGGTTTAGAAAGGAAAACTGATTTTTTGTTTTGATTTTTGATTTTTTTTTATAACACAATTTTACCGGGTTTCGGGTCCGGACCTGAAACCCCCGGTTTTAGACCGGATCTAAAATCCCTGAATTTCAATGACCGGGACCGGACCTGAATCTATAGGTCTGGATTAGGTCTGGTCCCAACAGGTCCGATTTGGGTCGGTTTTTAGGTCCGATCCTATTTATGTACACCCCTACTCACATATTGGAAAAGAAAAGATTGGCTCTTGTATTTAACTCAAAATATGGCAATTTCCTAACTCTGAAATAATAGAAATTGACCCTTTGAAAGGACTTCACCTTCCTAATATTTATGGGTAAAGTTCTTAACCAATGCAGTGCAACCCTGCACAACATGGACACCATAAGTCCATAATAACAATAGGTTGGTAAAAATTACTATTACAACACTATCCTGCCAACTAAGCCAAATAGCTTTGCCTTTCGTTTTCAAAGCCAATAAACTTCCAAATTAGAAATTTATAACCAAAGCAATATAATTACACATTACATAGACATCACAAGAGTTATAATAGTATGTAGTTTTCAGCTGTATTATAACCATCTAGCCAGTAAGTTGGGACATACAGGTTCCAGAATAATATAATCATGGCACAACTTGTGTTAATTTTTGATAAATTGCATAACCATTTGTGAATTTAATGTCCAATATAATCACCAATCTTATCTCGATATTCGTCATCTAACACCAACTCTTTCTTATACCCCTCAATCCCAACCATCCAAGATGTCACATAGTCCTCAATTGCACTAAAACAAATCATAACTTATGTTAATTTTGTATACATTGTGTAACCAATTGCAAAATTGGATAATTTGAATCCCATGCAATCGCCAATCTTATCTCATTCATCACCATCTAAAACGACACTTTCTTCTGCCCATGTCTCTTCATGAACTATAAGGTAAGATTCTTCATCATCCTTATTACGTCCAGAAGTGTTTCTCGATTCCCGAGTTCGACTGTCAATAAGCAGATGATTTCCAAAATCCATTTGAGCATGGCCATGCATGTTCACAGTCTCGCTCTTTCACAGCTATAATGAGAAATATACTTATGACGATTTTAAATCTCTTAAAGTATTCTCATAGGTCGATCCGGTATAGTTCTAAACCAATACCTATACAAATGATTTATGACAATCATGTCCTAGTAGCACAAGAAATGGTGCTATAAATCATATTACACACTAATCTCAAGTGGTCACTAATCGTCTATCATTTAAATGACCTTGATTAGGGATAAATTTCGATTGAAATATCATTGTTCACTTAACGGGTGTTTCTTTATCCAAGACATAATCTTGATACCCTGTTTTGAATATTATCATATATCGAATGGATTCATTATTTAATTCTAAACCACAATAGAATAGTTTGTGGAATTTATTTATGAAACCTTTTCAACGTTTCATCTAATGATAAATGGTTTTCCCCAAATGTTTAGGGTAAAACTACCCCCCTTGTCCACGTGGACCAATCACATGCTGACACGTGTCAGCACCAGAGAGATTCTGAGATAACCAACCCTCTGGTGACACGTGGCACTCCAACTCATGAAAGTGGAACTGATTCCCTTGCACTATAAATAGAGGAAAGTCCTCATTTATTGCACATTCATAAATATACACACAAAACCCAAGTAATATTAATTGTAGAATTCTCTCGGAATCCGGGAGAAAAACCTTTACGTTCCACACATTTCTACATCCGGACACGTTCTAACTTGATTGTCGGAGGCGGAACTCCACCCAACCGGAGTTTCCGTGGTTTTGCAGGTACAGACGGACGACGCGCATTCTTGAAATTGTAACTCTCTTGAGGGACTCCAAAAACCCTGAAACATTTGGCGCCGTCGGTGGGGATAATACTTCTAAGAT